GCGGTGGAACTGACAGTGCGAAACAGATGCTGCCTGAGCCAATTTGCTTGCACTGAAACGTTTCACTTGTTTGCTGCGTAAGAACTGTTTTATACTTAATTTTATGCCCTCAACAAAAGAGAGCTGTGAGGGGAGTTGGGAATGACGATTTTTTTTTCCTTTCACCTTCCTGGCTCACTGTGTCACTAGGTGTCAGCTTTGTTCTGGAAAGGTAAGCTGAAATAGCTGACCTGGGACATGCCCATCCCGCTTTTCAGGCTGAGATGGAGGAAGAGTGGCACCAGGCTGGTCCTCATGTGTTTTTTGGGGACAGCAGCCAAGGAGGTAATGTCTGGTGAGTATGGGATTGGACCCAGAACCTGAACAGAGCCTCTGAAGTCTCACTGTAAAACTGGACAGAGGTATCTGCTCTTACAGGGGCTGTGGGTGAGCTTTAAACAAAACCACAATGTGAAGAAGTTAAACCTTGAGCCTCCTGATGGTAGGAAACTATATTTCCTTCCAAATAGGCAGAATGTGCCATTTTTGTTTTTACCCTGAGACCTGTTTAAGCTTTTTCTGAAAGGTAAGCATGCGGTTTTATAATTTCTGTCTGCATAAAAGGAAAACTAAAGGTTAAGTTTCTAACATTTGCAATGCGCTGTTCTGTTCCGGGAGCCTTGCTAGAACTGGAACCGCTTCTGGAGCCTGTAGCGTGCATGCTGGACTTAGGCTTTAATTGGTCATTAGGGAATGTGAGCCTGAAGGTCCTGCTATAGAGGAGTCCTTGAAATTCTACTTTATGGTAAGTAAAAACATAAAATGAATAGTTTACAGGAAACAAGAAAAGGGTGCTTCTCTTCCTCTGAAGTCTCGTGTTACAAATTCAACATGTTGTACGACTGACCCTGTCTACGAAAGCACCCTTCCATGGAAGTTCACTAACTGTGTTGTAATTACCAGTGAACTGATGTTTTGGGTCCTGAGAAAAACTTATCTCTGAACAGCAATTTCAAAAAAGAAAAATGTAGCCAGTGAGATTCGGGCATAGTTTTAACGATATAAAATGAAAATGATGCAGCCAAGTGCCCAAGGACAGTTAGCATATGCAAGTTTTGGTTGTTTCCCTTGATTAAAATTGCACTTAATCTCTCTCTACTGAAGACACCTTAAGTTGCAAAAGAAAGGGTGGTGGAAACCAAGTCCGTTTTAACTGGAATAGTACAGGCAAGGGTTAGTGAGCTTTCTGCACTTGCTAACCCAGGTTAGCCTGACAGGGGCTGGAAGGCATTACCAGTGGGTGATGTTGGGTTATCTCAGGCCACATCACACGACCCACCATCACCACACTAATGCTCTGGCTTGGCATTCGCAGGAGTGAGGTCAAGCACTTCAGTTTGTCAGAAATTAATGATCCCTACACCTGCTGTACAGTGGTGGTCTCCAGGTCACAGACAGCATGCTACTGCTTATTTAAAGCCACAGATATGCCTGGAATTTTTGAAACCAAAGAAAACCAGAATCCGTCTCCTACAATCTGCTTTGAGCCATGGGGCTTTTCCAGAGGTCTGCATGGATCCAAACACAAGATCAGGGATTCTTGGGTCAGTTACAGGAGAAAACGGAAAAATCAGAGCAGAAAGGACACTTCATTCAGCTGATTCAATCAACAATTACTGTTAATTGATTACAATTAACAACAGTCATTGCTTTTCAAAGGGTTTTTTTTTCCTATTTGTTTTTCCGAATGCAACACAGCAATATGTTGTAGATGTGTTCTAAGACACACACATGTGTGAACTACCACAATTCTGAACTGGAATGAAAAGCAAAGATCTTTATTTTTTACTACAGAAAAGGCTTATCTAAATTAACTTCTCTGTTTTATAACCCTTCAACAAACTTACCCTAATTCTGTCTTGTACGACCAACACCTTTCCAGTGCTTTCATCTAGAACAGCCCCTAGTAGAGAGACAATATTGAGAAAGGTTGTTAGACACCTATGTTCAATCATAACAAGCATCATTTAACATGTTTTGATAAAAATAACAAGCCCCTAATGATACCCAGTTTACAGTTGGCAAGATTTGTCTGGATGAATCACAGAAAGTGGTTTGTCGGTGGAAGCCTGATACACAGAAAAGTAGGAAATAAAGGTTAAGTGTCCTGAATAAAAATTCATAGTTAGCAGTACCAAGATAAATATTTCCTACATTTAAGTTCCAAAAAAGACAGGAAAATAATTTGTATTATTAGAACTAAAGAATGCTATCAAGACTTCTTTCAAACAATCTAGCAAAGCTGCCTGCTTCAGCAGAGACGTGCCTGTAACCTTACTTCAGTGATGCTGGTAGCCACGATGGGCAAGAACCCTTCTCCAGTGACATTCGTGGCAAAACTCCTGCCTGAGCATTTTGTGGTTAATAACACACAAGGTTTAGTACTCAGTGGGCTGACTGTACTGATAATGTTCAACAGGTTGGCTATAAACTCACCCAGCTAACAGCTCCTGATGGGAACTGCACAGTAATCAGAGTCAATTAGTTAATCAAAAGGCATTGCTTCCAAGTGGAAAAGGGAGACTTGCACTCGATTCATGCATCCTGATTTATGATTTTTAGTGAAAAGTTCATCTTGTGTTCTCATGCTCAGCCCATGGCTTTCTCCGTCAGATTACAAATTTTCCTACTTTCTAAACCCCAAGCATTTAATGTTTAATCATCATGCCACACTCACTGGTCACACTTTCAAAGCATCTGCCCTTTCAAACGGCTATTTTTCTCAGATTCCAAAGTGTGCTGCGGTGAGCAGGAGGAGAACAGTGGTGCAACTTGCCAGGCCTTTTCCACACCAGTCACACATGGGTTTCAAATTGGTAGGTAACAATAAAAAAATTGCTTATATCCTTTTACAGCAGGAGGAAGAGTATATGGACAGATCTGTGATGATACAGGCATTTAAAATGCTACGGGGAAGGATTTCCACAGAAGGGAATTATTAAGGAGTGAGTGTGTCCAGCTCAAAACATTATCTGTTTTTTTAATACTACACGGCAGACTTATGTGTAGGAGGAATATTTAAAAGATGAAATACCAATCTTCCTTCAAGATATGTTAAAGGACGTGCCTTAAGAGGGTAGTCACATATCTGCCTCCCCACGGCTTGTGGCTTCATTTCATTCCTCCTGTAAATATTTAGTGGTGTCCCGGTTCAAGCAGTGTACTGATGAGAAGAGGGAACAAAAGGAGGGCAGTAGCAAATTTAATGCATGCTGAGATTATCAGGATTGTTTTCTAGAAGAGACATTTTTCAGACAAATGTTTGCTGAGACCAAGGAGGGCTGCTGAAGATGGGAAACTGCAGTTCAAATCCAACAGAAAGAAGGTTTTCTCTCCTCTGTTCCCCAGAAATCTATGCCTGTGAATGTAATTTTTGGCAGTGTAATTCTCTGTGAGATGTCCAGAATCTCTGCTAGACGATACTTACATGCAGAGCAAGAAGAAAGGAAAAAATACTACTGGGATTTGCTGTCTGCTCTCATTTTCCCAAAAGTAACTCAGGAGTCCCTCTGCAGAAGCTCGCTGGGCCACACCTGGTTAGCATCAGTGAGACCAGAGCTTGGCCGCAGGCCCTCAACTGTGGTTTTAAAAACTCTCCCTCTTGCTACAAATGTGGTACCTAGAATTTATATCATCCAACACCAGGATGACTTTCTGGAAAGGTTTACACTTGTCCCCTAACCAAGTAATTGGTATTACAACACTGCTGTGGTTTGAATGTTCTTTTTGGGGAAATAGGTAAGAAAATTATTATTAAAAAAATCCCTTAGACAAATCCAGACTGTGAGTAATGGAGGAGAAAAAAGTCTTCATCCTACCTGTTTTATTTATGTCCGATATAAACATGTACAAAAAGATGTTCAGCTGAAAAGCACTTGTCATCCGTGTAATGAGCGCACACATGACTGCTTGCACTGTAAACAGCAGCAGGCAGGAATAGGAATCACTTTGTACAACTTGGGAACTGCTTTTAAATCACTTCTGATTCCTTGGGCTATCGTAACTATCTAACTTCACCTTCCTGTGCAGTTGGGGATTTATGCAGCTGCTCATTTTACATGTTTCCTTAATCAAAGGGACTGGCCAAGGCTGATGATCGTGTGTGTGTACGAGTCTGTGGAGACCCTTCTCTCTCTCCAACTCCAATGACTGACTTTCAACAACCAGGTTAAGGTGGTAGCAATGAAAGTAACTGCAGCGTTGTCAGGCTTACACTACACGTGAGGGGGAGGAGAGGAGCTTCCAGTTTTCTTCCTCTCCTTTTCCTTTCCTTCCTCAACTTGTCTTCCTATGCCATCGTTGTGTGACGAACACTCACTTTCTGAATGGCAGACCACTTCCTCCTAGGAGGCGTAGAACTTTGGAAATGGTTTTCAAAAACATCTTCATCATCTCTTACACCAGAAGCTTTTTCTGTACCTTTATACACTTGGAAAATCCTGCCGCCCACAAACGGATGCAGTAAGTTAGTTGGGAGACACATCAGATATTCCACTATTTCTAAACAATGATGGCCAAGCCCAGTGAGTAACGTTCGCTACTCTCTGCTTGGCGACTCCGATCTCGTCTGGCAAAACATGACCTGACCTTGCTTATTCACACCTTTGTCATCACTTGGCCCGATGAGCACTAGCCCTGGCTGCGCAGCGTTCGCTCTGTGGGAAACTCCAGACAGGAGGAAAACCAGCTGCTGGTCTACTTGGCAATGCAGGCTCGCTACCTGCTGACTGCTCCCCGTGCCGGCTTCCTGCAGGCGAGCAAACACCTCTTAACGTCCCTGCTTTTCCTCTTCATCATGCTCAAGCGACTAAGTTCTGCATTTAACTGATTGGCCTCGGCTTGGAGATGAAGACTCTCAACAGCAGACTGGCTCCTCTTTACTGCAGAAAATTTCTGAAATGGTCTTTTTCTACAGGAGATAAAAAGGCCGAGGGTGCGGCACATACGCACACTATAAATGCACATATTTAAACAATTCGATATTGGAATAAAATTAATTAAAAATAGAACGAAGCCATGCCACTACCCAGGCTCTGCCCCCTGAAGTAGAAAGATAATGGAATAAACATATTCCAGGTGGAATCCACACTGCTTAGTGTGTTCTTGGAATGTGTTGCAAATCCAGAGACTGAGTGGAACAGAGGGATAAAACCCAATACTGCAGTCATCATTTCACACACAGAAATCTCTTTGCTTCCTTGCACAAGTGCCTGCCTTCAGTCTTTACCTCTTTTAAAGAAACTGCCAATAATGGCTAAAATTGCACAGGTCTGAGAAGTGCCAGCAAAGAATACGTACACTATATGTTGTGCAGTTTCAAAATCTGTGCAATCCATTCTGAAATCCATACACCTCCGTTTATGAAACTTGTTCTTTCCCCAAAGTTTCTTCCTACCTGCAGAGTGCAAAGTGTTTATCTCAAAGCACAACAGCAAATTATGCTTTGAAAGTGTGTCCGTTGTATTTTGGTATGCTTATTTGAGAGTTTTTCAAAGTTATGATTTTTCTTATATTAAGTCCTCCCTGATAACCACCAGGGTCACAACACACCTACTACATGATTTTCTTTTAAACAGCACTTCCAGCTACGCAAAACCTACTTCAGAAAAATCCCCTTTCAGTTACTCATGTTCCCTCAAACATGCAAGTTACAAGCGTAAGGAGTAACACAGTGCTTGTGCTAGGAGAATGCACGATCTTACTCCAGTTTAATGCCACATATTTTACTGGTGAGGTTTTCATACCTCAGGAAAACATGCTCTAACATGTCCATTGAAAAACTCCAAGCCTGCCTTCAGCTTCTCCGCTGCCCTCTGTTGGCAATGTCACTCCACTCTCCCGTTACCGATAGCAGTAGCACCGTTTTGTAACCGAAGGCTTTGTTTTTCCACAACGCACTTGCACCTGACATGCTGCTAGGCAGAATAATTCAGTTTTTCCGACTCTTTCCTAACTGGGTTTTTCAAATGGCTATTTATGGTTCTTCACATCGCCTGGTGAAGCATCAGTATCCCTGCAAGCCAAGCACAAACTAGGCAAGTTTGTAACGGGAGAGACATGCTGCCTCTGCTGTAAACGCCCTGCTATGTAGCCTTTACCAGTATGTGAGGGGTACTGGTATTACTCCAGATTACCGGGCTACTAAGCGATGGGATGGGTAATTGCAAACCTGTGGAAGACTGCTGAGAGAGAGGGCAAAACCATTCAAAACTGGAATTTTCAAATTAGGAACTCCAGCGGAGTTCCAGTTGACTCATCAGCTCCTTGTACTGCGCTGTGTAAAAAAAAAGGTGACACCTTCTTATCTAGTTCCTTGGAATTTCCTCAGTTTTTAGAGCAACTCCTTTCCAACTGTGGTTGTGGGAGGTCTAGATGGGTAAGGGTATGGTGTCCAGTTTTTCATTTTGTTTGGAAAATAACTTGCTTGGGTTCTGGACTGCTAAGCACAGGTGAGAGCAGCTTTTGGACGGTTGTAGTTTAGGCTAACAGCTGAGCTAGCTCCTAAACAATCCCTGTTGGGGCAAGTTTGGCCCATTTACAGACCTTAACTTGAGCATAGTTTAGGCAGAGGCATATATTGAGTAAGGACAGGGAGCAGGGAAATTTTTTTTTTCTTTTAAGTTTGTAGTGTTTTTTTTTTTACTTTTAAAGAACTGCTTGAACCTTGAAATCCTACCTCTCTCACCTGCAAGGTGAAAGCCAAAATACGCTTCTCAAAATGGTGTTTAGAAACAATGAGGTAAATTTTAAAGTGTCAGGACCACATTTTCCTCTCCCTTAGCTGTTTACAATTTTCTCGAAGTGGAACCATTTTGAGAAACCTCTTTACTGGCCGGTTTTTAGACACGCTTCACGTTGTAAAGTTACCCAAACAGAAAGCAGCTGGTTTCCACACCTTGGTTGTGAAGCGGAGCAATCCATTTCCTGGACCTAAGGGCTCGTTCAGAGGGCTTTTTGAGGATCCAGCCGCCTTTATAACT